ATATTTACAAAGTTTCTCCTAATTTGCCAATAACCAAAAAATCAACTATATTATTATATAAATCTACTGTAAAACTTGGAAAGTGCAATAAACTAAATTAAAATTATTGTATTGTTGTTTGAAAAAATTTTCTGGCTCTGCCACTTTGTGGATAGCTATGCTTTTGTGGATCTTATTATATACGAATCTTGGAAGCTATTTGGAAGTTTAGAAATGAAGCTTATTATGAATTTTTGCCTAGACCTTTTGGGGTGCCGTGTTGAGCTCAATTTTTTTTTTGATGCAAGATTTGGGGATGAAATTCGTGCGCGCACGGCTTGTAGTGTTGGTGCCAGATTTGACGGATTGTGGAGACTTGGGTTAGTTATTGTGAGAAGGACTCGGTCGCGGATGGAGATGCTGATGCTCGAGTTTTGGGCTATTTGGCTTAAATGAGGGTTTCTGGGATTTGAGCATGCATGTGATTGATGGAGACTCCAAGAAGGCTATTGAAGATTTTGGCTACCAATGTGATATAGTGAATATATTATTGCATGGGAGTTCCATAGTATTTGCAAGGATTTTCGTTTGTCTGCGCTTGTGAGTTCTCTTTTTGTATGTTTCTTTAGGAACTGAGGCCAGGAAATGTTGCGGCTCATAGATTATGTTGTTGGGGTCCTATCAGCCCTAGAGTGTTTTAGACTGTTGTCTGGATGTTATACTCCATTGAGCCAGTTTGCTAGTTTATGCTTAGCTGGGGCTTTTCCTTTTGTTTTGAAGTTGCCATCATGTGATTTGGCCCTTCTATTTTGTTTGTTTTTTTTTATTTTATCTTTGACCCTTCTCATGAAGTCCTTCAGCTTACTAAAAACAATAGGGGAGGAGGGGGAGGTAATATTCGGTCATCTTGTGTGTCAAGTGTGTGCGTATGTCCCCCCTCGAAAAGATAGGTGTTACAATATTCAAACTGCAAGCTACTCGATTAATATTTGATATAAATGAGATTTAAGAAATCAGACATATAAAGTAAAAAAAAAAAAAAAGAAAAAAAAACTAATAAAGGTAAAAGATCTATTGGGGTGTTTGGTATGAGCATTCGTATCATGATTTAAATGATGGTTCGTGACTCGTTATAATGTTTTTTCTCACAAAAAACACGTATAAATTGAAAATGTTTCTGAATCATAATTCTGAATCCATGTGATTTGAGATCTATATATTCAAAATAAAAGATGTGGATCTCTTGATACGACTTTTTGCCAGACGTGATATATTTCCACCCGAGATACAACCCAATTATAAGATTCCCTTGGTCACATCATGATGAGGCCTTTTCATTTACAAGTATATGGAATTAATGAGCAATTTCACGCTGATTGTTTGGTAATTTGCGTAGACATCCGCTAATTTGGGCGCTGCTCGCTTGACCAATGTTTGGAATATATATTCACATCGACCAGTCTTTGCTTTTCTATTTGGCTAAAAATGGTAGTCTAATATGTATCAGTGGACCAACTTCATTCGTTCCGGAAATAAAAAGAAATCATCAGTTTTCATGAAGAATTCAAAACATGCACGCAAAGTCGCAGATATGGAAATCTCATAAATAAAGAATATAGCGACACTACATTATGACTTTCGAGTTTATCTTAATGGAATATATCATTTCATGGACATATACAAGTGTGTAACTTTATGTTTGCATACATTTCGCGGGACGTCCTATCTATAAATTAAACATCTTTGGGAATTTTGGCTTTTCTGCTTAGGCTTTGTGAAAGAGCATCTCCACTGATTAATCGGGGCTCTAAAGTTGGCTGTCTGATTGTCACAAAGCCAAAATTAATTACTTTTTCTAAAAAACAAAAAGTTTATTATAAATTAGTTCAAGTAGCAATTTTTTGTTGTTGTTAGATATTACTTAATGATACTTTTCAGCATTATTTCAACGTAATTATTTCATGAATATAAATTATAGATATATAAGTAACTTTCTAGATAATAATATCTCATAAGTTCCTTTATATATATGTGTGTGCGTGGTAGAATTCAAAGAAATAGTACGTACCATGCATTGAGCTTTTATTTTATATATTTATTTACAATACTTTTTTCACTTCATTTATCATATTATGGCTTTCGAAAAATAATCTTTTAATCATCAGCGCAATAAGGCAAGCACCTCTATCTACCATGTTACACATATGGATGCCCGTACACATTGTAATATCTGGATATCAGCAACACCAAAAAGTAGTACTGAATTGCACTGCACATAGTGGATAAAGCCAGTAATTATGCGTTCCACTTTGCTCTTATAATTACACGACCAGCAAATAGAAAATGAGGTCCGGGATCCCATAACGTGTGGATAAACCGACAGCAATATATGAATTAATTAAATTGTATATATATTTGTAACTGATCGAGTGGATAGGAAGTACACGAGGACAAAAACCTATATATACATACATATATATAGTATGCGTTATAATGTATATGTAATCATTCGAAAGTAGTGTAGAATATTTAAGCACGTTTCAGAAAGAAAGAGAGTATATGGAAAGTGAGTAATGAGCATATATAGATTACAGGAAGCACAGGTCCTCTCCCAACATATGTGGATGGCCATGCAAGTAGTAGTGCTGTAAACAGTAATTAAATATATCAGTTATTGGCTACACATTGACTTAGACGTATATGTGTATATTGTTAGTTTACCAATTCGTCCCAAGCTTAAGTTGTTAGGAGGTGAACCAACAATAGTTTTATACTTTAACAGTACCCCTCACATGTAGACTGGACAATAGGCAATCATGTGGGTAAATTAATTGGAAAGCCCAACACGTGAATATTTAAGCCCGAGATATATTAAACACCCAACACATGACAATTTTAAATGAGGATAAAGAGTACAATTACGGGGGTTTGAACTCAGGACCTCCCGCTCTGATACCATGTTAGTTTACTAATCCATCCCAAAAGCGTAAGCTGTTTGGAGGTAGACCAATAATAATTTTATACTTTAACATATATTATATACATATACGAGTTTTTAAAGATTATGTTTTATCGATTGTCACCCATTAAATATAGCAATTTGATGACGTGTTGTAATAAATTTTTTTTATCAACTATCTAATTTATTATAATTATAGGATTAATATCTTACCGCTAAACAACGATAACTCATCGATTAGTAAATATTGAAGTAACCCGGCTAAACAATGATAACCCATCAATTAATAAATATTAGAGTAACTATTAAAATCATATCCATATGTGTGTCGTGTGTGTGTTTCCACTTCATAATGGCTAGCTAATGCATGTATATAAGAGTGGGTAAATTATAATGGGAGAAGTGGTTTTTGAGGTCATGACTGGAAACTGATTCAGCTACCTTTGTTTAAATGTTTTCTTCTTCTTTTTTCTTCATTATTTTTTTCTTTCCTTTTATGGCTTTCGCAATTAAACCAAATCATTGGTAATTTGAAGCTTGACTAAAGTATCAGTCACCTGGCAGATATGAGGCTTGTTAATTTCTCAATGTGTAATCGATTTGACCGTTTAAATTTTTATTTTTATGTTCTTAGTTTATTATATCTAGCTAGCTAGTGCTTAATAGAAAACTATACATATTCTATAAAAAAAAAAGGTGAAAACAAAAAATATACAATAGTACCTGTTGTAGTGTAAAAACTTAAAACCCTAATATGAACATTAGATGTGACCCACATGTAATAAAATGAGGACATTTAATGATAGGAGACAGTTTTGCCCTAGCTGTCACGTCAGACGAGGGTTCTTTTGGGAGTAGAACGCAAGTAAAACGAAAAGCGTATGAAGGCGGTTGATCGCTCTGCTGAGTTGAGAAAAACAGAGGTCGCCGCACCATCAATTATAAGTGGAGATGGCTCTGAGAGCGCCTAAGAAGTCGAGTCCACGAAAAATCGAGAGAGATACGGGACCTGCTATGAGATTTGTGACTTATAATTAAAATAAGCGAAGTTAGTGGGGAAGTAAGTGAGAAAATTATACTAATTGGCAGAAATCCCAACCAACCAGGGATATTATCCCAAAATGTGGGAAAAATATCCCGGAATAAAATAGGAGAAATTACAGAGGTTGCAGGGGGTATATATGAAGAAAGGGCGTGCTCAGAGAAAGAATTATGTAATCATTTTTTCAGAACATAGTGAATTTCTCTTCCCTCACAGTGAACGTAGCTCTTGAATAAAGGGTGAACCACTATAAATCAGTGTGTTCATATTTTATGATTTCTCTTAATCTTTCTTAATCGTATTCTAGATCACTAAAATCACGTTATTCGTCTTTAAATCCGAATTATCTTTGTTAACGAATTTCTACGCTCTAACAGTACCCCTTCATTATAGGGCCGGATTTATAAAACCACAAATTAAAAGATATATAGCTCACTTGTTTATGTCATATATGTTTTTATTTGTACTGATCACTCTAATTAATAATAGAAATATTTATAAAATTACTTTGGTGAAGCGATTTAGCCATTAACCCTTTGAAAAGACAAAAAGACAAGCAACTCAGATTGAAAGAGTTAAACTCATGAATCGCTATTTAAGGCGCGCGCGCACACATGTGTATATATAGCAACAAGCCTGCTATTACAAGCTATGATCTAAAAATTCAATCACACATCATACTCATATTAATGCAAATAGTAAATAGTAGATCCCTAGGACCTACACATGATTCCATCTCGATGCCACAAAAGTAATAATTATGTCCACGGGCCTAGTTATTTAATTGCATGAAGAACTAATGCACGAGAAAGATGAGTGGAAAGCCTCACGTCTCCTACATATACATATATATACACACATATATACATCTATATATGTATATATAACCTATCAAACAGAAGAAAAGGAACTGTGCCTCGATCCTGGCCCATAATTTAAAAAGCATTTGGTTGTGACATATGATGAGTAGTGGGATATACTTTTTTGGAACTTGACTGATGTTTTTCAATCCCCAATTGCAGATAACACTTTTGTTTTTGAACTGTGTTTGAATGGGTTATCTACTCATACGCATTATCAATTATAGAGTTCTTTTCAGAGGAAAAAGTATTGGGTAGGTTTGGATTTGATTTTTATTTATTTTTTAAAACGTTTTTACACGTCTTTTGAGGTATAAAAATGAAAACTGTTTGTAAATTGTGTTTGTTTAATAAATGTTTTGAAAACGAAAACGAAAACAAAAAACAGTGGGTGCGTTTGGAATTGATTCCAAAACGTTTTTATTTTCTGTACGAAAATGAAAATAAAAACGTTTTTAGTTTTATTTTTGAATTATTTCTAAAAATGCATTTGGTAGTTTTATTTAGAAATTGATTTCAGTTTTAAAAAAAACTGAAACTGCGTTTGGTGGTTTAATTTTTAAAAACATATAATAATATATTAAATAATAATATAT